CTTGAATGTTTAATATGTGCTTTTAACTTGTTTTTATATGACTTCATCCTCTGGATTTGGTACATTTATCTACTTGTTTTTATTTATTGAATTTTAATGTCATCAATTGTAATCATCTCATCTTGTTGTTTGGCGCGTCATAATCATCTCTGGTTTTTGCGCCATAATCACTCACTCACTCTCAATAGTCATGTGATCCGGAAGGAAATTCCAGGGATAGAATCATGTTTCCACAATTAGGATGTCGTCGAATTTAAGCATATCAAAATTTTACTGTTTGCATCATCGAATATAACGGGAAAAACAATATTTTCAGTGAAACTTATATGAAAATCATAACTTGACTTCTGAATTTTTGAACATAGCTCAAATTTTTATTTAAACTCTTCGATGTTCATGATTTTAAAATTTGAACATCTAAAAATGTATCGGATATAAAGTTTTGAAATTTTTGCAGCTTGTAAAACAAACTTCTCGCCTTCCTTTATAACATAAGTGGTTAGAAAGTATTAATTGAGCGTTTTTCTACATTAAAAAATAGTCTGTTGCAGTCTGACGAAATTCAAAAGCATTCTCTGAGTCTGCCACCTTGGCGCACGTAAATGAACTGTCGATATCCCCTCCCCCCATTTTTAATTTCATAAGTAAAATGTTTCGTTTTCACTGGCGGGCACTGACGGACTTGGTTCGGCCACTACTAAGGCGGGGTGTGCTGGCTACTTAATTGTGGAAGCACCTAGTGGGTTGGTCATCGTCTCCTGTGCAGGGACGTACAATTACAGCCAATCCTTCTCCGGGATCGGAACCCTGGTCCGTCGATATTGCAATCGGCTTCCGTAACCCCTATATCGTATGCGCGACAAGTTAAATACTTGAGTTTTAATACAGTACACTGCCGATTATCCGCGGAATTGGGCGGCGCGGCCGCCGCGGATAATACGAAAAAAGCTAAAAACGGGTATAGCAAATAAGAAAACAGTCATTCAAACTTGGAAAAATCGTTTTATGTACAATAAAACGTAAAATAAACAGCAGGAAATGTGTAATTAACGCTTATTATTTTAGCTTATTACTCTTAATATATTCTCCCCATGAAGTCTAATTTCTCGAATTCCATGTCGCTGCTTAAAACGAGTCAACCAGCCAGGAGACGCATCAAAATTTTCTTTCAGGCCTAACAACTCAAAAAAGGTTTTTGCCTTAGCCGCAATGATAGGACCATTTACAGGAGTACCTTCTTTTCGAACTTGAGCTAATCACTCTGTCAATGCCATGTCTAGCTCATCAATGGTAGAACCCTTCATAGTTTTTCACGTTTTCATTGCAGCACTGTCCGACATTGATGCAAAGTTCACCAGTTTGTCTTTTTGCTTTAGAATGTTGTTTCCGCGATTCCGTAATCCAATTCCATCTGCTGCCTTGTAGGGGCGTTTGCTACTTTGGAAATTAATTCTAGTTTTTGCGCAATCTTCAACACAACCTTCTTTCGTTTTCCTGACATTTTAAATCGGTAACGAAAAACACAAAACCAAAAAGCTCAAGCACTGAACTCAATAAAAGATAAGAAATTAACTCCGATCTGTTCGCAAACATATCAGGCTTAAACTAACAATGGCGAGTGGGAGGAAATGGACGTGTCAGTAAGATTAAGACGAGAGAGGGCGGTGGAGCGGGCACTGCAAGGGTGTGTAAGAAATCACTTATTACACATCAGAGGGAAGGTTCCGAGAAGGCCTAGGGATATTTATGCTATAAATAACCGCACGTTTATGTTTATTGCATAATTTAACGTTTCGCTCAGTTTTGTGTTGAACATTTTTATTTTCTTTGCTTTACGCTTGGGGAAAAAAAAAAAAAAAAAACTTTGTGCGGCAGGCGCGGATAATCGGAAGTCTACTATTACTATTACTTATTAAGAATTCTATCATTAATAATGCGTTATTGACACTTAAAAAAACACAAAATGAAGTACAATTAAAAATGTTTCTATGCAATAAGCTATTATTTAAGATGAATAAGATAATTCATGCACTAAGAGGAGAAAAATAATTTATCGTATAGTTTAGTGGAAATAGTATATTAAAAAACTCTTTTCGTAGAATTCATCTACAATTTTATATCGGAAATAATAAAAGCGCGGGGCGCCTAAATAATGAAATCTATTAATTAAATTGCATTACTAAATGTATAAGACATTGTCTTTTTTAATTTATCATGTGTGCCCCACGCTTTTATTATTCGAGGTATAAAATTATAAATGAAATCTGTAATTAGAATTATTTAATCTATATTCCCATTAAACTGTATGACAAAATATTTTTCTCCGTTAGGTCATTAAATATCACATCCATTTTCAATAAAAGCTTATTGTATAAAAACTTTTTTTAAAAGAAATATGTAAGTGCTATAATTTTTTGTTATTTGTAAGTTAAATTTTTGTATTATTATTTAAAGGTATATAAAATATTTAAAAAGTTCTTGCTGTATTAATAATAATATTTTTAGGGTAAATTAGCTCTACTTATTTACTATCCGAATGGAATATTTATTTAAAGCACAAAATATGGGTATAAATTTCTCCTGTTTTAGGTATATATTATCTTAGCGATCAAGAATCCTTATGAATCAACTCCATATATACAGACATAATTAGTGTTGTTACTTCCTTGTCACAGTAGCTCTTTGAAGCAAAAAACAGAAACTTTTCTGAAGTTTTTCCTAAAACTTTTTTTAACAATTTAAAAAAAAAAAGTATCATATTTAGAAAATGCAGCTTTTCGTTCTAGCTGTTCCGCATAATGAACGATTTTCCTTTTCAGTGAAAATCTGAAAAAAAAAAAAATATGTTGTTCACGTTCAAGCACGTAATTAAAAATAATGTATTGATTCATTTAATAATTCAAATAAACAGTTATAATTTACAAACAGTTACGTGTTGTTATTGCTTATGCTCACTTGTCTGACGTAGTCAACCCAAGCCCACGAAATTCCTCGTGGCAAGGTTTAAATGGCAGAGTTTTACGTACAATACATGAAATCAAATTTATATTATTAAGTAATCATAAGTATTTACTTAAAACAGCCACCAAGACCCTCCAAAATCGGCAAACTTAATCAATCGGTCATACTATAACGTGCAAATTTCAAATGTCTCAAAAGCTTATGCGATTGATATATGCGATGACGAAGGCTTATGCGATTAGGTGCTTTAACAAAAAACTGCTGTACTGGGATTTTATTAAGTATATTGCAGCAAGTTTAATGTGAAAAAAGAAAAAACGATAGTTCCTTGGTAAAACTGTCACCGCGTAAGAATTTGGTGATAACTGAAATTTGCGCCTTACAAACTATGCAATAAAATTTGCCAATTTTGACTATTAAGCTCCGTTGTGTACTTAAATAGTGAAGTACAAACGATCATTTCATAATATAAGTTTGAATCTGTGTAATGTATGTTAATCGTAACTATCGGGATTTTAACATGAAAGAATAACCAATGTTATTTTAATCATATGCTTCAATGTGTATGATTGCTCCAGATTCTCACTGAAAACAAAAAATGCTCATTATGTAGATCGAATAGAACAAAAACTTAAAAATCTCTAAATATGAACTTCTTTCTTTCGAAAGGCTATTATATTTGGCTCTTTAGCGCACATTCGGTGACTGCCATCCCGCTAACAGAAAAGTACTTTACTTTTTTGTAATTTTTGTTTTAGATTTATTAAAAAATTTATGGTTCTTAATTTATATAGATTTTGAAAGCTAAGCAAAAAGAATATTAGATGTATCTTTTATTCATAAATAAGAAACAAAAATTACGATGATCGTTGTTTATTTTAAATATTAGGTATTAAATAACAGAAAATGTAGTGAAATGCAGAAGTCTTATTGTTTATAACTTTTGAAAGCGAAAAGGTATTTCCAATCAAAGAATCATTTATCCCTTGATAACAGAATATATGATATGTAAGATTAATTTATGTTAATTAACCAGTTATTTTATGTTTTGGATCTGAACTGTCACGTCTCCTTTTCTGTTTTCTTTCCAGAACGCAGAGTTAGTTCGTGTGTGTTTAATATGAGGTTCTTAGATTGTAAGACAGAGCGTGTTCTGCCTTTAATGGCCGCGTAACTAGGTTGCTATCTTAGATAAGAGTTCTTATTTTCGGCCTTGCATTATAATTGGCGGTAGTTGAATTCCACGCCAGTTAGCCAATTTCGCGTTAAATTGCATAGCCTTCGTTATCTCACAAATGGTTGCCTGATTAAGCACAAATTATGTAAATTAATGCAAAAAATCAAAAATTCTCTTAACGTCAACCAAGAGTTTAGACGCTTCGGATGATTGCAAAAAATTCGAAACTCCTACAGATTCTTTTTTTAAACAAGTGAAATTTTCAATTCATTGAAATAGTATATTTAATGAATTGAAAATGTCACTTGTTTATTATTGGTTTATTCATTTATTTCTTATTGGTTCAAAAATATATACTGTGAGGCACAGATGTGCCAGTAGCTCTGTTAAATGGGAACTTAACTTTCTTCCTCAAATTAATCTTATTTTTTATCATTTACTAATAATTTTAATTTGCAGTTTAGATTTCAAAACATTTCATTCTGCGTGAAATTGCTCTTACAGTTTGTTTTCTGAGGAACAGAAATCTTACATATTTACATTCTCTTCATTACAACACTCAGCTTTATCCATAAATAACGAGGAATAAAATTAATAGAAGGGATAAAATTAGTGAATTTGAATATGACAAAGCACAGAAGTGCTGTCTGCTTAAAATGAAAGTTGCCTTCATGAGCGACTTTTTAAAGAACGTTGGCTGGTGTCCACTTTTTTCATGAGAAAACTTGCGAGAACACCCATACATCCAGTCCATTTGTTGAGGCCCTAGCCCGCATCAAACTGCCAATGTTAAATGGTTTTAACCACTCGGTAAAGCGGTAATTAATAAAAATGAAATAGAATAAGAGAAAAAATATCTTACTTCCAAATATGACTTTTGATCCTGACTTAGTCCTTCCAGTTTCTTTATCCAGTTTAACTAAATAATTAAAAAAAGTATTGTTACACAATTATGTAAATATGTTATTTATTTGTTTGTAATTTTATATATATATTTGTATTTGTTTACTTATATGTATAAATAGTGTACTTAGTATAATAATTATTGTAAATATTTTTTATAAAATTTATTTATTGTAAATTTAATTTTAAATTTGTTGCTATTGTGATTGTGTATGTTTATTTTATGTATTGCGTTAGAGTTTTAATTCCGAGTCAACTGATAATGAAATTATGGGGACAACGCAAACTATAGTCCATTTTATAAACAATAGAAACTCTTCTACCAGATCTTGGCTATCTATGCCAATTTTTCACTAACTTAAAAATTTCTGGAAGGATCTAGAAAATACATTTCAGGAGCGATTTTTCTAAACACTTGCCGAAGCGCTTTTGCTTTTCATTTAAGACGGTGCACATAAGAGGCTGTATTCGAGCCAGCGATCAGTCAGTTTGTTCAGATTTTGCCTCTTATCTCAGTTCATTTTTTGTTGGGTTAATTATAGCTATTTATGTTGCAGGGACATTAATTTTTGTGGAAGCAAGAGAGATTGAAAAATATGCAACGCCTTCGCCGGGAATCGAACCACGGACCTCTGGAATACCGGCCCAGCGTGCAGAAGCACTACACCACGAAGGCACGCCAGAAAAGTGGAAGAAATACGTTCTAATGTAGCTGAATGAGCTGTTATTTATCTTGATAAAAGTGTTCGTCGGGAATATACATAGGAAATTAATCGTGGAACTACTCTTATATGCGCCCTCAGGTCGCCAAATGCGGCGACAAATTTCTCGCGAAACATTTTTGGCGAGAAACTCTACGGTGCCATATTACTATCTAAATTTTTAGTCTACATTTCGAACTTTAAGCCTAAAATGTCTCCAAAAACGCGGTTTTCGCACATGCAAAAACCACGTTTTGAACACACAATTTAAGCTAAAAAATCCGAAACAAAAACAAAAAATTTAGATAGCAAAAACGTAAAGTTTCTAACCAAAAATATTTGACTAGAATCCATGTACACAGCGATATGTTTTAACTTAAAAAAAAAAAATCTGCGCAATTGCACAATCTAGGCAACGTGAAAGAATCTACGAGCTACGCACACCTCGCTTTAATAAACTAACATAACAGCAATAAATTTCAAAGAATACCATGTACACAGGCATTCTGTTTAAACTTTAAAAAGCATCTACGAATTTCGCATAATCTAGGCATTACGCACTAATCAACAAAATAAACTAAAATAACAAAAATTACAAACAATTAAAAAGACAACAATAACAACAGAAATTCATAGTAAGGAAAACAATGAACATAACATTCTACAAAATAAAAACAGTAAAATAAAATGCACTTACCATATTGAATGCTTCTTTGAACAGCCGAAATATCAAGAGCATACAAAATCCAGCATACATTTGTGTGAATAAAATTTCGCCAGTCACACAACATCTGTGAACTAAAGTGCCACGATTTTGCTATATCACAAGTCTCTTCTGCGAATTTAAAATTTCTGAAAGGTAACCATAAAAACTTCCTCCAAAGTTGATTTACTATACGAAAACCCCGATCCAAATCTTAAACTCCGCTAACAGCCACATACTTTAACAGCAAGTACACTTGCCTGCAAACTAGCACAAGTCTATCAGAAACGCCCCTCTTCGTACGACTTCTCATATCAGCTCCGCATTTCCCAGACACGCCAAATTCTGCATTTCGGAAAGTCCGTTTTAAAAGTCCCACAGAAATTCCAAAAATACACTTTCGATCCTCATAATCACTAACCCGTGAACAAAAAGACTCGTTAACAACTCCAACATCGTACCTTCTAATACTAAATTTACTTTACACACAATCTAAACTACGCGACTGAAATCTTGCCACCCCGTCTATCATTGCAACATAGGCCATTTCAAAACACGCACGACACGAACCAATGAGCAATTAAACCACTGTAGCAAAAGAGTTAAGTTTCAACGTCGAAAGGGTTGCCATACAAACAACATCGTCCCCAAAACCACAGCACCGCAGCCGCGCCAAAAACCAGCGCAGAATATATATCGCCACATTTGGTGATCTTCGGGCGAATATAAAAGTAGAGCCTTAATCGCTTATTGTGATCAAGAATTCAGTTAATATGATTTTGTAATATTTTTTTAACTAAAGTTGCCAAATAAAAGATAAATTTGCCAAATAAGTCAAAACAGATTATAAAAATTGCCCAAGTGACAGAGAAGTGTTGCCAAGTAAGGGGTTAAGTCGCCAAATAGCATGATTTCCATTTATAACTAGTCAAAAAGGCAACCTTAGTTTGATGTAGATTTTGAATAAGTTGACCGATTTGGAGGGTGATCTTTCATCTTCAGGAACAAGCAAAAATTTTGCGGATTTTTTTCTTTTCCCTGGGGGGGGGGAATTTCCTGAAAACATCTACGACAAACTAAGGTTATTTTTTGCTTAATTTAAAATTTTATTTTGGCATGTAGGCTTCCGAATACTAAGATTAGGGGTATAGCATCGGTCAAATAATTTCCAGAAACGTTTTGAATACTTTATAGATAAATTTTTGCTTAAGCAAGCTTTTGTTTTTTCGCAATTAAAATCCCGTGAAAATGCTTATTTATATGTTTCTTGATATTTTAAAATTAAATTTGAAAAATATTTTTTTCCGCTGTTTAAGTCATCATTCAATTAAGGTTAGCTTGGACAAAGCGGTTTTCAAGTGTCATCAAAAGGCGCCTGCTATAAATTATTTACATATTATGCCCGTTCATTAACTAAACTAAATACGGTACAAAAGGTTATTTTATTATTATTTTACATCAATTTCCCTTACTTACTTATAGGTTATTATGTAAAAGTGTTTTAGCTTTATTTTAATTGAATTAAAAAATTAACATTTTACTCAAATAAAATTTATTTTTTCGTTTTATTTAGTATAAAAAAAATAAATAGAAGGTTATGTGTTTACTTTTTGAAAGTCTACATAAATAATACATTAAGTTCATTGCCTTAGTTCAAATAAAAATTATGCGATTAAGCAAATGAAATATAATTTCCGTGCCTGATTTTGGCCAAAAAAGAATATGCTTTGCATCTTTATTGGCCTAAAATGCGGTTGAACGAAAAGCTAACATTTTTTCACGAGCACTATACATTAAATATGCAGCGAGTTTTTTTTTTTTTTTTTTTTTCCTACGAAAGTCCTTCACTCGGCCTTTATTTTCGCAACCGCTTTGTCAGGCATGTATTTCCATTTGCAAAAGTGTTTTAAATGACGTATTTTTGCATATTAAATTTTTAAAAAATATATTTTCAAAACAATTATGACATCAACTTCTTATATGCTTTTTCGATCCTTATACTTGTATCTAAGAAAATTTTGCGTTCGTTATAAAAAATAAAACGAAAAGTTTGACTTCCATTCGAGAAAAATTGATCGAGGTGTTTAACATCCAAATTTGCGATTTTTCACATCATAGTCAATTTGCATTTTGCAATAAATAAATTGGAATAATTCGAAGTTTATTTCTTTCCCCTTAACTGCAACCTTTAAACTTAATGATGCCTAAAGGTGAATTTTTGCGTCATTTAAAACATTTCTGTAAATGAAAATTATGTTTACAACGAACAGTTGCGAAAATAAAGGTTGGGATGTAGAGTCAGTGAGTTTGATCGATGCAGGAACGTGAAAAATGTGCAATGCATTCTCCGAGACTCGAATTCCGGACATCCCGAATACGCGTCGAGCGTGCTTCCAGTTACGCCACGAAGGCATACGGAAAGGAGAGACAAAATCTTTTTACCTCTCCTTTTAAAGGGCGAGAGGATTAGGAGACCCCATCGCCAAATCCTCCTGGTGACGAATAACCGTCTACCAGCGTTTAGTTCGGGAATCATTTTTAGAGTCATTTAGAACTTTTTTTAAAATCAAAATATCGAAGAAATCGACGGTGCGCTCGCCAGGATTCGAACTCCGGATCTCCGGAACGGGCATCGAGCGCATTTCGAGCATGTGGAAAGAAGAGAGAAAATATCTTATATACTCATCCTTTTAAAGAACGATGAGGATTAGTAGACCCAGTGGGAGTGTTTCTAATCCTTGCGGTAATGAATTATCGTCCGTCACCATTTTAGTTCGGGCGCTATTTGTAGAGATTTTTAGAATTTTCTCGAATTCAGGAAACTATAGAAATCCGCAGTGCGGTCGCTCGGATTTGGACCTACGAATATGCGTCGAGTGTGCTTCCAGTTACAGCACGAAGGCTTGCGGGAAGGTGGGAGAAAATACCTTATAGTAGTGGGTCTTCGACCTTTCACGCCAGAGAGCAACATCAATAAATTCACAAAGATCTGCAGTCCACATGTCTATCAAAAAAAATAGTGTAGTCAGAAAATTTATATAAAAAAGGGAGTTTGTTTTGCAAGACTACAATTGATTCTAAGCGAAGAGATAGTGTTACAAATTTGTATATATATACAATAGTTCCAAATAAACAATTGGAAATCAAATTAAAATCTGGCAGGAGATGGTAGTTACTTTAGTTTGAATGTAAAATTTGACATTGATTTTGCTTGATTAAAGCTTCAATATCCGGTTAAATCTGTGTTGTTGCAATTCGCAAAGTTCCTCCAAATGGTCGTGGTTTTGATTTTAGGATTCAGTCATGGTTTTGATTTTAGGATTTTCATTTTACAAAAAAGCTGCTCATGTATGTAGGTACTGCCAAAGATAGAAGGCATGAAGAGTGCATGTTTACGAATTCCTGCATACTTTGTCTTCGGTCACATACTTCGAATTGACATCTTTTTGTCAGTTAATGTAGGATTTTCAAGAGACTTGCATTTTACAGCAGAGTCACACTGTATATCTATAAATTCTAATTGAAGTTGAGTTGGAACAATATTACATAAGGTAAATTACATAAGAAAAAGTGAAATTTTTGAAAAATTCGTCATTTTCAGAAAATGTTATCTCAAATATCAGGCATGTCAATAAATTGTTTTAAATATCGAGGATAAGAGAAGAAAAAGTTTTTTTACGACAAAAAGCTGACAAAGCAATTTTTCTTGAAATCAAAATTTCTTGAAATTCTTCAAATTCCAATGTGGGGCCACCTGAATACGTTCAATGGGCCACGACTTTTGTGGACAAGGTCTATAAAGAGCAATTCCTTAAAAAGTGGGCTGTTGTTGTTGTTGTCTTGTCCACATTACATAGAACAATGGTTGCCAGAGCCTACTCGGAAGAAAGGTTGAACTTCTATTTTCCTCCCCCAAGTTTGAGGGAGAGCAACCCGGGGGAGAGGGCTCCGGTGGTTTCCCACCCTTCTCCTCACCCTCCAATCCACACGAGAGGACTTTCGGCTCGCCGCGTATTTAGAGTGACTCCATGCCGCACCGACACTATACATTTACAAACATCCATGTCTTACCTGGGACCCGGGCCCTTCGGTATCGTAGTAGGCTCCCCTAACCACTATACCATCTGGGTGACCCCCAAAAAAATGAGCTGCACAAATAAATGAATGAGCTAGAACAAAACAGCGTTTCAGGCAGTGTTAATGAATTGTCTAAGGAGTCCTTTTAATATGGACTTGGACTTAAATTCTGATATTAGATAGTCAGTAACGTTTAACAAAAATAAGTAAATAATACAAAAATTAATAACAATATAAATAATGACTACTTAGCGCAAAATAAACTATAATGAAATAAAATATTAATAATATATGTTTAATTAATTATTATTATAAAAATAAAATAACATTAAAATTGAATGAAGTGCTAATAAAAAAGAGCAAATTAATTATAGATTAAAATAAAGTATTTTAGAAATTAAATGAAATAAGGGAAAAAATAAAAGGTGATTAAAATAGTAACAAGGAATCTGACGAAGATAAAAGGATAAATCTTTTGAACCATACTTTTTGGTATCTAATTCATCTTTGTCATAATGACCCCGTGGACTGAATCGCTAATCAACCGAGATATCTCGCCAAAATCTGGGTACATGTTCTTCTTATACCTCGCCACGTAATTGTGTATTTGCATTTTTTGCTTTCGCGGTGTGTTTTTATATTATTTATTTTTGATGAGGTTTCCGAATTCGCATTGTTTATTATAAAATATATATTCAATTCTTTTTTTGTGTGAGCGCGACGTTCACACACGCTCATGACACAAACGCGTTCGTGACGTCAATCTTTCGTGAACAATCTTTAATTTACCGAAGGGTCTCGTGTTGGAAATTGGTTCACCGGCTTCAGAATATGGTTCGTCCCTGCTATTAGATTTATGCACTCTTGGACAGAGGAGTTGCCGTCCATTAAATGGTGTAACAAACAGTTCAATATGTGTGAAAGTGCTGCAGTTGACTGGAGCAATTACATGCTATAAAATAATAATAATAAGGATAAACATTCTTTATTCTTAGGAAACGACATTTGAGTATCATTGTTATTCTTATACGCTATGTTGTTTATTTTTGTAGTTGAGCTTCACGAGCACGTCGAAATTATAACTGAGATCTTGGCTCAAATCGCCAAATATGGTTGGGGGTTTTTATAACAGAGAAGTACTAAATTTATCTTCCTTAGGGAATCGCATTTCCACATTGGGGCTCATTGCTTTCTGCCCCCACGCACACACATATTTTGTTCTTATCAGAAAAACGTAACACGTAGCTAATATTAATTTCTTAATACCCTTTTTTCATATGCCATATCTTAGCCTTCCAGTTTACCAGTAGTTTTACCAATTATAATATTCATAGTGTGAATATAAAATATCCCTACTAAATATAAAATATCCCTAAATCAACAAAAATTTTCTGTCAGTATTGAAATTCAGATGCATAACAAAGCACCAGAAGTCATCTTATTCCAGTTTCCATACTCTCCAGCTGCAGTTAAAACTTCCCTCAAAAATGAAATTTCGGTGCCGAGCTTCAATGGGCGGTGGCGGAATTTGAGCCCTGGACCGAAGGGGGAAATCTGTATGTATATGAGACGTCAACATTGACTTCAACAGAAGGGACGATTCAAATTGTGCAATCATGACTTCTAATGGAGTTGTTACGTCACGCGACACTAGGAGAAACTTTTCTAAGAAATGAGAATCTTCTTCTCCTTCTACCATTGGAAGGTTCCAAACCAAAACAGTCTCACTAAAACCAATTTTCTTGCTACGTACGCGGGGCATTTTGCGACTCAGACGAAAATATTTCTCTTAAAGCTCGTAGTTTTTCCCAAAACAACTGGTTTTTCCCTTAAGTCAACCAGTCAAATATCCCGAATGCGTAGAATATTCCGGGGAAAAATGTTTCCTTTGACGCACTGGTAAGGGTATAAGTAGATGTGATACTGATATAGGACGAGCTCAAAAATAAAACATAGAAGCATCGATCGAAGAACAGTGAGCTGCAATTTTTTTTTTTTTTTTTTTTTTTTTTTTTTTTTAGGGCAAAGGCTATCAGGGTACTAAAATTCATCGACAGATGGCAAGCGTGAACGGGAAAAAACTGCATCGCACACACAAGGATAAAAGTGGTGCAAGCGCTTTAGATACGGATAGTCAAGATGCCATAGTTGAAAAAGTGAATAAGCTCATCCAACAAGATCAATAAATAACAATATAGAAAACTTCTATCGTTTTTCCTGTTGATTATTGAAACTGTTCAAGCGATTGTTACGGATCAACTGAAACTTGGTAAAGGGGCGTCTTCACTGGAAACCATGAATCATGCCATACGGTTATATCTCTTCAGTTTCTGCCAAAAAATGCCCAGAAATGTGATGACTTACCGTCATTGATAATCACCGGTGAGCTTAAGAACGTTTTGCAAGGTTAACGGTTATAGTTGGACAATAACGGGAGAGAAGAGTTTGGGAGGGGCTCCAAGAACAACGTAAGGACTTTTGTAAGAGCGCAGTTGTACATTTGGTGCTTTCTGAGGGTAAATATCTGTGTAATAACATTTTTGAGAAATCTCAAATTGTTGCTGTTAGAGAGACTTCGGCTGATTCAATTTTGTTGAATGTCCCTTATTTAGTTAGCATCTACAAAAAAGGAGGACCAAATTAACTGAAATTTTCGATTACCCGAATAAGCTATATTTGCTTGTTAATTAGGATGACTAGTGCTCAGATGTAGTCTTACTACTTAGGTACTTTTCTGTTCACCGGACGCTAGTCGCCCAATTTGCGCTCAAGCCTAAATGTAGTAGCCTTTTATATCACGTTGTGAATAACTATGCAGTGATAATATTTATATGTGTGCGTGGCCGAATTTGTGCAATTTTCTAACTTTTTAAAGTAAGAAAGAGATTGCTGTGTACATAGATCGCGCACAGCCTTCGGCGCATTATTTTCATTATAAATAAAGTAGTTATTCTTGTCTGGAAGCTTCGTTAGGCCTATCGCCATCTAGTAGTTCGATTTCGTCCCAGCACTTACATTTAGCGCTGAACTATGCTTCGCTAACAGAAAAGCACCCTGAATATTTTATCTACTGGACAGTCATCAGTCTTTTTTAAGCCTTTTAATTTTTTACGCAATTTGTAACCTTAGGCATAATAATTGCATTTGTTAGTATATATTTTGATTCATGCATCTATAAAATTATAGACTTTATATTTTACGAAGAACACTCAAAATGTACATAAAATAAATATAAATAAATTAGTTACCATTATATCTTTTACTACATCCCACTGTTCCCAGTACTTAGGGTCCAATTCGAAAATTTCTAGCTGAAAGAATAAATATAAGCATTTTATTTTTTAAACTATCGTTTAATTTATATTTAATAATTAAGATTTGCATTCAAAAAAAATTTCCCATCTTATATGTTGATAAACTGATAATTTGGGAAGGTTTTTTTTGTGAAAAAATTCTTAAAAATCGTGAACTTGCACCCAATAAGTAATTTTCAGTTGTAAAAGACCACCAGACTGCATCAAGATGGATGCGTTTATATGTAAATAAGAATTTCCTTAATTATGAAAAATGTATTCCTTATTTCTCAATCGCATGTTTTTCTTATTAAATACCTTAGACATTTGATAAGGTATGTTATTTTTGGTGTGTATGTGATTATGGCAAAGCCTCAAGGGCTGGCTATCTGCCTAAGAGGAGGGATGCCTTCGTGGAGGACTTTCTAAGGGTAGCTGGCTCGTATACGCGTTACACATGGAGAAAACCACGAAAACGCCCATGCAGCCAGCCCGTTCGCGGGATTCGAACCTCGGACCGAACTACCAATGTTCAGCAACTTTACCGCTCGGCCGCTGGTGGGCTGTTATTTTTGGTACTTACGCGTATAATTCCGTCGACCGTTAAACTATCGCTAAGCAGCCACACATAACATCTGCTGTTTCGTTTGATGTAACTTCAATTGGTACTTGATGAATTAATTTTCTTTTTTGTGAATAAGGAAATAAATTAACTGTTATTGCTGTATTTTTCCTTGCATTCTAGTAAAAAATATTTTAACTTTTTCGACCTAGCAAAAGGCGGATTATTTCTAAATTGGGTGGTATAAAAAATGAATATGAACGAACACAATATGATTACCTGCATAAGGCTAACAAAACAATAATAAATTGTTATGCTATATTCACAGTGTTCTAAACAGAACTAGGCGTAACAAATTAATACAAATCGATGAAAATCTTTTCATGAAGCGGGTCGAATACTGATTGTTAGATAAAGAGGAGTGGGTTCCTTCACTCCTCTTTTTATCTAACAATCAGTATTTCAGTATCCAATTTCACTGGAGCGCTTAGCGCACCTTTAGCGGGATCTCCGTCAACTTTTTTTTTTTTTTTAGGGGCTGACGGGATAATACGTAAATACTTTATTTCTTTTAGAAACATTTAGTTTTTGAATAACATCAAGTCCATGCTCCGACCATATCAAGTATGTGTCACACTCATGTTCGCGGATTACTTATGATGACGCACACACTCATGATGGCGGAATCTTTTGCGGGCTGACGGGATAATACTTAAGTACTTTATTTCTTATAGTTTCAAGTCTGTACTCCACGTCAGATCGGGGCAGACAGGACCGTGTGTGAGTACGGGTGTGGCAATCCCGAGGTACCCTAGCCCTTCAGGGGATCATCTTCTTGATGAGACGGGTGTCACGATCCTGGAGCCCCAGTGATCTATCCTCTTTTCCGTCTCCTCTCCTCTTGGCTGGAACTTTTTCCCTTCCCTTCTCCCTTGTGGTTTCTCTCTACGGAGTTTGGGGCTCGTCACGAGAGACTGGAACAACCCTTGTCTCTAGTTTTCGAGTGGCGAGAAAACTGCCCACGTGTTTGCCGTGCGTGGAGACCCGTGTCGCTGGAAAGGAGGGTCCTGGTAGTTGAGGGGCGAGGTACTGTCCCCAACACACTGCTTTGGCCTCTGCTTCAGCTAAACGGGAGGCACCTTAGTCGTCCTCACGGGTGTCAATCGGCTGGTCACTAGTCCTTGTGTCAGTGGCTTGGGGTCAAGCTCTCGGGAGTACCTGCTTTCGGGAAAGCCGACTGTGGGGCTTCAGTTTGCGTATAGGTCCGGCTAGCCCTAACACAGGAATCTGTGTTCCCTTGTTGGGCTCCGTGGTGGGCGGGGCCGTCGGACCCGAATTTTTTCTCTTTTAAACATGGCTTCAATTTTCATACTAAAAAAACCTGACCCAAACGAAATTAAACGATATAGAAATAATTGAGAAATCCTATTAGTAAGAAAACCCGTACTGATGCAAATGCAAAGGAAACTACTGAAAATCCGCGCTTCCTAGTTGTCTCTTGTCCTTCTGGTGAACTGCAAAAGATGTCTCCTTTTCTAGTAAGCAAATACATTAACTCATGCATAGGTCAGAGCCAAAGATATTAAAGCGTCTCCGTTCTGGAGACCTACTGCTATTGATACTGTTTCGCCACCCAGTCTGCTTCACTTTTGTCACAAACCAAACTTGGACAAGTAGCTATAACTGTGTCAGCGCATAAAAACTCTGAATTTTTGTAGAGGTGTTATCTCGGAAATCGACCTTCTGTGTGTTTCAGAAGAAGAGTTCGTTTCCGAGTTAGCTGACCAAAATGTCTGTGGCGCTAGGCGGATCAAGATGCGTAAGGAAGGTCAGTTGATTGACACCAAACACGTGATCCTGACCTTCAAATCGCCTGATCTGCCTAAGAATATTAAGGCTGGATATCTCAAATTGTCCCCGTAAGACCTTATACATTCCAAACCCTATGCGATGCTTTCCAGTGCCAGCGTTTTGGCCATTCCAAGATGTCCTGTCGTGGGACCCTGACGTGCGCTCGATGCTCGTCGGTTGGCCACGATAGCGATAATTGCACCGCTGCAGCACTGTGTATTAATTGCAAGGGCAACCATCCAGCATTTTCTCGTTCCTGTCCAAAATGGAAATTAGAAAAGGAAGTGCAGACCATAAAAGTTTCTAGGAACATTTCATATGCCGAAGCCAGAAGACAAGTTCAAAGCACACAGCCTCAATCAAACAAATCATATGCCAATGCCGTGAAATCAACCCGCACTATAGCCACCCAAACTTCCATAAGTACACAGACTCCACCAAATAAAAACCCAGCAGCCTGCAAGCAAGAAAAAGAAAAAACCAACACATACCATACAAAATAAAGAAATAGCAATCCCGAGCAAACCCAAAACTGTGCCTCCAAAATAGAAACCAAAAATAGAAGTCCCAGCAATAGTTCTGTAAATGAAATTATTTCTGAATCTGCAGATTCAGACAGTATGGAAGTGGAAGACGGTCTAGAAGTTCCCGATCATCTGCTTCTGCGCAAAACTAAAAAGGAACACAGGAACAACAAACATCAATCATAATGGCCACCCTCGTCTCATGGAACTGTCGCGGTTTCCACCGAAATTTGCTCGACATCAAAGCTATAATCAATGCTTATCATCCTGTGTGCTTCGCAATACAGGAAACAAATCTGAAAACCAGAACAACATGCAAAACTTCGGAGGTTTTCTTTCGTCAGGAAAGGATAACCTTGCAGGTGAGCGTGCCAGTGGAGGTGTAGGTCTCCTCACCTCACTGGATTATCCCTCAAATGTGCTTTCCTTTGACGACATCCCTCCAAGTTGTCGCTACTCAAACAAATTTTGATATTGTTGTTTCAGTCGTTTCTCTGTTATTTGCCTCCAAATGAGCACATTGATCAGCAAGATTTAAATGGTCTTTTAGAGCAGCTGCCTGAGCCTTTCATCATAATAGGAGATTTTAACGGCCATAGTCCGCTCTGGGGTAGTAAAGATACAAATTGCCGAGGAAGACAAATTGAGCAGATGATCGAAGATCATAGCCTTTGTCTCCTGAATAATGGGCAGGATACTTACTTCCATGAGCCTTCAAGGACATTCCACGCTCTCGACCTTGCCATCTGTTCACCATCTCTGTTGCCATTTTGCACTTTTAGTGTCGGAAATGACCTGTACAACAGCGATCATTATCCTATTTTTGTGTCTCTTGCACGAAGAGGAGCAAACCCCGTGTCGAGACTCCCTCGTTTTATACTGGACAGGGCAGACTGGGAACTCTTCTCTTCCATTGCAGAGCTCAGAGATCAAATGGTAGAAGATGGGCATATCGATGACGCTGTTGAAGCTGTTACTAATACTATTATTCAGGCAGCTATGCTCTTCCATTCCTAGAACATCAGGAAAAATACTAAAATATTCGAAACCGTGGTGGAATCGCGACTGTCATGAAGCACTGAAAAAAAACAGAAAAAAGCATGGGGTATTTTTCGTAGATATCCTACTCTGCGAAACCTCATAGCTTTTAAAAGAGCCAAAGCAAATGCACGGAAAAGTAAGAAGGCAGAGCCAGAGGGATTCCTGGATTTCATATGTGTCCTCAATAACATCCTCTACGCCTAGTAAGCGGGTTTGGGAAAGAGTTCGAAAAGCATGCGGAATGTATAAAGACCACTCACTTTCCTTTCTGGAAAAAGATGGCCGAGTGATTAGCTCCATAGAAGAAATTGCAAATACAATTGGTGAGACATTTCCTGCCGTTTCTTCCAGCCGAAATTACTCACCTGCATTTCTTTCTATCAAGCAACGCTCTGAAAAAAAATCCCATCGCTTTCAACTCTTCCAAATTTGAGCCGTTACAATAGAGACTTTACTATGGTTGAACTAAAGAGAGCTTTGTTGCAGACACATAGGTCTTGTCCGGGTCTGGATGGCGTGTATTATGAAATGCTAAAGCATCTGTCCTATAAGTCACTGAGTGCCCTTCTCACACTTTACAATAGAGTGTGGAAGGAGCGTACATTTCCCAGTGCATGGAGGAGAGCTGTTGTCATTCCTATTGCGAAGCCAGGGAAAGACCCGAGGAATCCCTCGAACTATCGGCCAATTGCCCTTACCAGTTGTGTTTGCAAACTGTTTGAAAAGATGGTAAACAGCCGCCTAGTCTACTTCTTGGAAAAGAATAATATTATATCGCCTTATCAGAAGCGGTTTTCGAAAGGGGAGAACGAACCGTAGATAACATGCTCCTCTTAGAGACATCTATTCGAAAAGCATTTGTAAGAAGTCACCTTGTCTCAATATTCTTCGACATTGAGAAAGCTTATGATAAGGCATGGAGATACGGTATACTCCGGGATCTTCACGAGAGTGGCTTGCGCGGCAACCTACCAATTTTCATACAGAATTTCTTGAACGCTAGAACTTTTCAAATAAGGATTGGCTCTGTTTTTTCGGATGTTTTTCAACAGGAAGAGGGTGTGCCTCAAGGCTGTGTGCTTAGTGTAACCCTGTTTAGTTTAAAAATAAACTCTGTATTAAAAGAACTTCCTCCCACCATCTTGGGATCTCTATATGTTGATGATCTGCAGATTAGCTGTCGAGGAGCAGACATGAGATATGTAGAGAGGCAACTGCAGATGGCTCTGAATAAGATCCAAGAATGGTCAGACAAACAGGGATTTACATTTTCGAAACAGAAAACTGTGTGCGTGCACTTTTGTAGGAAGCGTGGTCTCCATCCTGAACCTGAGTTATATCTGAATGGTACAATTATTCCAGTTACGCCCGAAGTAAAATTTTTAGGAGTGACGTTCGACCGAAAATTGACTTTCCTTTCTCATGTTTTAAACCTGAGAAAGAAGTGTCTAAAAACACTAAATATTTTAAAAGTGTTGGCGAACACCTCCTGGGGTGCAGAGCGTTGCTCCATGCTTCGCATTTACAGAGCGCTTGTTCCGCTCTAGAACTGGACTATGGCTCAGTTGTTTATGGATCCGCTCGGTCATCAGTTTTGTTAAAACTGGATCCTGTTCACCATCAAGCTCTGCGGATTTGTTCAGGAGCTTTCAGGACTTCTCCTGTCCAGAGCCTGTATGTTGACTCTAACGAACCATCACTTTATCTGAGGCGTGAGCAATTGTCCCTTTTGCAATATTTTAATATTCTATCACAACCTGAACATCCCAATAAGCTGTGCTTACTTGATAATGAGTGTAACACATTATTTGAAACACGTCCATCCTGTATTCCTACTTTCCTTTAAGAGTTCGCCCTATCATTGAGGAACATTCCCTCTCTGATATGCGCCCCCAAGCAGTACAGAACTTTTGAAATCCCACCTTGGGAAAATTCACGGATTCAGCTTCTTGATGTTTTCAAACATCACGTGAAGGCAAGCACTAACGAGATCGTTTACAGACAACTTTTCGCTGAGCACAGGCACAAATATAGCAGTTATTATCCGATATACACAGATGGATCAAAGTCAAATGATCATGTCGGGATGGCTTTTGTATTTGAAGATTACATTGAGGGCAGATGCCTGCACCATGCTTTCTCAGTCCTAACATCTGAACTAACTGCAATATATTATGGTCTTTTGTACATCTCAAAGCTCTGCCACAAAAAGTTCATAGTTTATACAGACTCGTATAGTGCTCTTAAATCCTTGGAAGCTTTTCCCAACACTCAGAATCCTGTGGTAGTGGATGTTCTCAAAATTCATATAAATTTAACGATTCGAGGATATGAAATCCTGTACTGCTGGGTTCCTGGACATGCTGGAATAAAGGGAAATGAGCTTGCAGATATCGCAGCCAAATCTGCTGTTGAACTGTCCAGTCGCCTTATCCCTTTTAGAGACATCTGCTGTGTCATCAAGGGAAAGGTCCGAAAAAAATGGCAGCAAATTTGGGATGTTCAGCATCACAACAAGTTGAGAAAATGTCAAAGCCTAGAATTGAGCATTGGGATTTTGCTGGAAATCGTAAGGAGGACGTTCTTTTGACTCGCCTCAGAATTGGTCACACTAGAGTCACACATAACTATCTTCTCAAAGCTGAAAATGAGCCTGTTTGTTTTAATTGTAATGTTTGTTTATCTGTTCGTCATATTTTAATTGAGTGTCCATGTTTTAATAGTCTTCGCCAGAAATATTTTAATAGCTGTGACTTACCTCTCGACCGTTTAATCGGAAGAGAGGTCAATTGTAATTTATTTTATTATTTAAAAGAGATTGGCTTTTATTACCTAATGTAATTTGTTTTGAAGACTGTGTCTTGAATTTTAATATGTGCTTTTAACTTGTTTTTATATGACTTCATCCTCTGGATTTGGTACATTTATCTACTTGTTTTTATTTATTGAATTTTAATGTCATCAATTGTAATCATCCCATCTTGTGTTTGGCGCGTCATAATCATCTCTGGTTTTTGCGCCATAATCACTCACTCACTCACTCACTCACTTGTGAGTACGGGTGTCGAAATCCTTCTCGCCAAGAGGTGATCCCATCAAGGGATCACTCTTGGCGAGAAGGGGACACGATCCCGGAAGCCCAGTGATCCTTCCTCCTATCCTTTTCGGCTCTTATCTGATCTTTTTCCATTTTTTTCCTCTTTTGTGGTTTTTCTTTTCGGAGGTTGGTGCTCAAAGGGAGATGCTGTTACAAACCTTTGTTTCTAGTTTCTCGTGATGAGAAAATCGCCTACGCGTTCGTCGTGTGTTGTAACCGTAAAAGTGGAAAGGAAGGTCCTAGTAGCTGAGGTGCGAAGTGCGTTACCGTTCCAATACACTGCTTTGTCCGTTTGCTTCAAACTGAAACGGAAGGCACTTAGCTCTCCCCAGTAGTGACAGTCGGCTAATCACTTGTCCTTAGTGACTCGGGGATAAGCTTTCAGGAAAGCTGACTGTGGGGTTTCAGTTTGCATATAGACCTGATTAACCCTAGCGCAGGAATCTGCGCCCTGTGGTTGGACTCCCCGGTGAGTGAGGTTGCCATGTCTGAATCACTTTTCTAATATGGAATTTCTACTGAATCTAGTACCCCTCATAACATTTCATTTCTAACAAAAAGATAAAAACATGTGCAAATGCAAATTCTGAAGTAATAAAATCATTTCCCCTTTTGTAGTTATGACTCACAGGTGAAATTTCAAAAATATCACACTTTTTGATACAAAAACATGTAAAGATTTATTTATGTTTATCTAACTAGTTATTTTATGTTAAGTAGCTTTACTGTCATTTTCCTTTCCAGTTTCCCTGCCAGAATGCTAATTTCATTTCGCGGGTATTCAGATGAGACAGAAAGAGATGGTATTTAAAGGTAAGTTTTGGATTGTCTAATTGGAGCGCGTTTCGCCTGCTGAAGGCCAGGTTACTAGTTGAAAATCTACAATAGCGTTCCTGTCTTCGGCGTTGCTTTATTCTTGTCAATAATGCTTGTCACGACGGTATAGGTGTGAGCCAACTTGTGTGTTAAGCATTTATGCGTAGCCTTTGCCTAATTTACGACTTAGTTTTAATTTTTCTGTTATTTCGAGTTACGCCATAAATGTCGGCTGGTTTGTAAGCACAAGAAGTGTATTCTGTTAAGTTTTGTTGAATTCTAAATAAAAGAGTCTTTTACACTATTCTTAAGTTCTGTTTCATTTTAGATATATCGATATGTTACTTACACGTCTATTCAAGGATCTTCCGCAAGTTAGTTTCGGACACAATTCTTACAAAAATGCGTAGCTGAATGAACCACCCTAGGTTTTATGCGACTTATTGCTAATTGTGAGATATTTTATAATTCGCTAATGTTAAAGAAAACGAAAATAAAGCCTCTTACTGTTCTTGTCTATGCAATTATTACACTTGGCAATAATTTTACTATTTTGATAGGGCGCCATCATTGCGAAATTTCAGTACATTATGGCACAAAAAGTGTATAAAAATAAACAACAGCCTTTGCTTACCGATTTTTTAAAACAACCGCCATCTTCACTTTCCTCTGAAAATGTAAGAAAAATATTTTATTGAAAGATAACATTAGCGATGCAATATACACTTAGCAGAAAGAAAAATCCGATTGCCAAGGCATATATTATATCAGTATCTTTTACGCACAAATTTGAATTATTAGCCAAATGGGCGTTAGCCAGAAGGGCTGCCTGAATAAGGCATTTTGCGTCGAATCAATTTTCAAATTGTTACCACGAAATATTATCGCCTTGTATTATGTTTAAAGAAATTAAATAATGAAGAATCTCATGCATGTATGTATGTTTCTCGCATTGTGAAAAACAGCAGTACCTACACTCATCAAATTTTGAGTAACATATGGACCTTCACCAGAACATGGGCACGTGGAAGTCCGAATTTGAAATTTGCTTTATTGATTATTTTCTAATTCTTTAATGAAATTTTGATTAAACAGCTCAACAATATCAAAGCGAACATGTCAACAGTGTACGGAATAAAACATTTTTATCTCCAGCGCGCGAAACTGTCTATCGGAGATTCTAAAGATTTGTTGTTTTTAAATATTTTTAGCACAATGGGGCGTTGGTCTAAGTGCTCTTGAAACCTGTATGTGGCTGTAAATGGAAAATAAAAAAATTAAAAAAAAAAGTTTGGGCGTAATTGCAAAATCTGAAAGCTTTCAGATTTTTAATTTATTTATTTTTGTTATAATTCTCTTGAAAACTGTTTCCCAAGCAGTTCATAACCCACTTCTGTGTACACTACCGGACAAAAAAATGCAGCGCCCTGAGGGAAGAATCTGATGAAAACTTACATTACAGTGATCAAATAGACAGAAGTTCTCACCTGGCTTCTTTTAAAAGCTGAGAGTGAGCCTGTTTGTTCAAATTGTTATGTTTGTCTATCTGTTCGTCATATTTTAATTGAGTGTCCCTGTTTTAACAATCTTCGTCAGAAATATTTTAATAGCTGTGACTTACCTCTTGACCGTTTAATCGGAAGAGAGGCCAATTGTAATTTATTTATTATTTAAAAGAGACTGGCTTTTATTACTTGATGTAATCTGTTCAGCAGATTTTGTATTATATTTTAATGTGTGCTTTTACCAGGTTTTTTATATGACTTCATCCTCTGGATTTGGTACATGTAGCTTTTTAAAATTTTTTTATTAATATGTATTTCATTTCATTAAATTAGGTCATCCCACCATTTGTTTGGCGCATGATAATCATCATTGGTTTTTGCGCCAAAAAACTCACTCACTCACTCACTCTCACCTGGCTTCTATTTTCGCAATAATTTTTAATTAATCGTGGGTGCAAGCGAAAAAGTACATATGCCATTTCCATGTAAACACTTTTCTTGCAAAACCGTTACCGTACATATAACAGTTTAAATTCATTCTTTAACCAAATACAAATAAACTATTAATAAGGTCAGTATGTTATTTAAAATATATTCCACACAATTCTCCTTATCTTTCATTCATAAAATAAGAAATCATCTAATGAAATAACGCTATTTCTCCTCGCTTTACTGAAAGCCCACAAGGTATGTCTGCGTTAGTTACAAAGCCCACAAGGCGATAACTCACCATTCTAAATTTGACCGCCAAAAAGATGTTTCATCCATTGAAAGCAGACCGTAGAATAAAAAGTCTGTAGGCGTTGTGAATATGCTCATTCCAACGCTGTTTATGCTTATTCAGTGCGCTGATCAATTTGCGCTACAAAAAAAGTGGGTATTGCTGTTCGAAAATTTCGAAATTTTTTTCACCGAACTGTAACCATAACCCTGACAGCTCTATTATTTGATTATCACAATCTCGAGCGCATGCTTTCAAATAACAATATCTGAAATTTCATCTTCGATTGGTTGAGCCGATAAGCCGCTAGGGGTTCATGTGCAGAGAAATCAGGATTTTTTTTAAAGCAGGAGAGATATTAAATGAGCAATGCCCTCGCCGGGACTCGAACCACAGACCTCCCGCATACGCGTCGAGCGTGCTGGCCACTACACCATGAAGGCATGCTAAGAAGGTGGGAGAAATATCTTATATACTCCTCCTTTTAAAGGCCGACTGGGGATTAGGGGACCCAATCGCCAAATCCTGGTGGTGGATAATCATCATCACCACCTTTTTTTTAGTTCGGGCGCCACTGTAGAGACAATACGTTATTCCGAAGCAGGAGAGATGAAAAGTGAGTAATGCCGTTACCTGGACTAGAACCACGGACCTCTCGAATACGCGTCGAGTGTGCTGATCACTATACCACGAAGACATGCTAAAAAGGCGGGAGAAATTCCTTATACATGTACAGGGAAAAGATGTTTTTTATGACCACCCTGTACTAACATTTTGCTCTTAGGTCGCTGAAGATGCTCAATAATTTTAAAATGTAATATCCCGGTCAATTTTTGTCCTACGAAAATCAAATTTTTGTATTTTATTTTTTATAATAAGTACAATTTTTAAAATATAAATATAGAGGCCGTAGGAACACATAAAAAGCTCGATTTCGTATTTTTTTATAAAATTAATCTTTTTAAATTAAAAAAGTAAGAAAAAATGAATATTTGCATCACATGAAACATTTCCTTAAATATAAGAATAGGTTTACAACCAACAGTTGTAAAAAAAAAAAGGCCGCGTAAGGATTTATGTGAACATAGTCCCGTCGCTCAGTTATAATTTCTTATAGAACGCGGCAATTCAAAAAACAGTAATTAAATTAACTACAAATGCCGAGTTGACACCATTTTCGAAACCAGATTTCGAGTTCCCCATTGCCAGGTAAAATAAAATCTCTTCTAATTACAATTCGATCGGTGATGTCTATTAAGTCAATATTAAAATAATTTTAAAAAATTAAGAAAGAAAAATCTTATTTGTAATGAAGAAATTTTACAGTCCCGTTATACAGAAGAAAACTTATCAAAACAGAAATATAACATATATAACATCATAGTATAACAGTAGAGGAGACAGCTCTGCCAAATCACACACTTACGTGGGGACAATCCTAAAATTTCTAATTGTTGCAATCAGAGTGCTTCTTTGTGTTATATCTACCACATTCTCCTCAGTCATAATGAAACATGTTGATTCGTTAGAATGAAAGCAAATATGTCTCAGAGCAATTTAGGATTATTGAAAAGACGGCAAAATGTTTCCTGTCAACACGCAAACGATAATAAGCCAAAATAGTGTCTTAATGCAGGTATTTGAAATATGTTTCATTAATTGCTTTTATGTATATCACATAAATAAGATATATTACTAAAATAAAATAAAGATTTAAACTGATTAAAAGAGCATTTATAGTCTTTATACAATATTGTTATAACATGGCGATACAATCGAAGATCTTATGTCACATCCAATGGCAATACTTTGGAAACTGGCTATTATGAGGCTTGGGAAGATTGTATCTTCAGCTGAATGACAATACTTTCCAAGTCGTATGAATGTTAAATACACAATTGCGTAAATGGTTCAAAGATTTAGGAAAGGCTCCTTAAAGATGTTTCTAACATAGCCAAAAAAAAAAAAAAAAAATTATTAAGAAATATCCACATTCTTTTTAAATCACTCTCCTTATTATAATAATGTCTAATGTGACGGTATAATTTTTAAAATGATTGAAGGAAACTAATACAACTATCCGACCGGCAATTGGCCAGAATGCATAAAAGATTAATGATTAATACTGTGTTGGGGAAACGTAACATGCCCCTCAGGGGGCTCACTTCTGTGAGTACGGGTGTGGCAATCCCGAGGTACCCTAGCCCTTCAGGGGATCATCTTCTTGATGAGACGGGTGTCACGATCCTGGAGCCCCAGTGATCTATCCTCTTTTCCGTCTCCTCTCCTCTTTGCTGGAACTTTTTCCCTTCTCTTCTCCCTCGTGGTTTCTCTCTACGGAGTTTGGGGCTCGTCACAAGAGACTGGAACAGCCCTTGTCTCTAGTCTTCGAGTGCCGAGAAAACTGCCCACGTGTTTGCCGTGCGTGGAGACCCGTGTCGCTGGAAAGGAGGGTCCTGGTAGTTGAGGGGCGAGGTACTGTCCCCAACACACTACTTTGGCCTCTGCTTCAGCTAAACGGGAGGCACCTTAGTCGTCCTCACGGGTGTCAATCGGCTGGTCACTACTCCTTGTGTCAGTGGCTTGGGGTCAAGCTCCCGGGAGTACCTGCTTTCGGGAAAGCCGACTGTGGGGCTTCAGTTTGCGTATAGGTCCGGCTAGCCCTAACACAGGAATCTGTGTTCCCTTGTTGGGCTCCGTGGTGGGCGGGGCCGTCGGACCCGAATCTTTATTCTTTCACTATGGCTTCTTCTCATATCTACTTAATTAAAGATTTCCAGGTAACTCCAGTCATTCAAACTAGTTCTGAAACGTCTACAGCTAAACCAGTCACTCAACCTAGTTCTGAAACGTATACTGCTAAACCAGTCACTCAACCTAGCTCTGAACCATCTACTAATAAACCAATCATTCAACCTAGCTCTGAAACGTCTACTACTAAACCAGTCACTCAACCTAGTTCTGAAAATTCTGCAAAAAAATTACGGACAGATGCAAATAAAAAAAATCATCACAATAGTCCCCGTTTCCTAGTCATCTCTAGTCCTTCTGGCGAAATGCATAAGATGTCTCCTTTCGTAATAAATAAATACATCCAGTCTTGTATTGGTGAGCCGAGAAACATAAAGCGTCTCCGCTCCGGAGACTTGCTTATTGATACAAACTCAGCCACCCAGTCTGCTTCTTTACTTCAGATTACTAAACTTGGGCAAGCGAATGTCACTGTAACACCCCATAAGTCACTGAACTATTGTCGTGGTGTGTAATCTCAGAATTCGACCTTCTGTATGTTTCTGAAGAAGAGATCGCTTCTGAGTTATCCGAACAAAATGTCTGCGGTGTAAGGCGGATCAAGATGCGTAAAGAAGGTAAGTTGATAGACACGAAACACGTGATCCTTACCTTCAACACGCCTGATCTGCCTAAGAATATTAAGGCCGGAT